CCTACTCCTACTCCTACTCCTACTCCTACTCCTAATCCTACTCCTACTACTACTACTACTACTACTACTACGACTACTACTACTACTACTACTACTGCCACTGCGGCTTGAGAGACGCTCGTCATCTGGCGAATGCTGTGACGTGCCACTCTCCGGTATGGCGCGACCTCTGCAAAGGGCAGGAGTAAACAATCTCAGGGCAGTCGTGCAGCTTGCAAGTGGCTTTGGCAGCAGCGCGAGATCCAGCCCAAAGCTCCAAACTTTAGCCTAAATAAGTTCGGCTTGATGACATCCGCTGCGACCTAGAACTAAACATCCTAAAGCCTTTCCCCGCAGCATTCTTCTCTTCCGAAAACCCTTATTCGATGCCGAACCCAAGCATACCGGGCCTTTCAGGAATTCGCCCAACACGGCGACCCAGGCACCTGCATAAAGATAGCGGCCGTTCCAATTGGAATGGGGTTACGAGGAGCGATCGAAAACAATTATGCTACTGAACCCTACTACATCCTACTACCAAGTGTTCGAACCCCATTTACCAACAGGTTCCTGCTCTGTTGTCCTCAAGAACACTACCTTTCATTATTCAGGCTTCTATAGTATCGTTGGGGCTCTGCTCTCTGCACATAGTGGGCTGAAGGCTTGGGCAGTTTTGGGCTCACGGCCGAGCATCTGTCCATAGGTCTGCTAGGTTAACAATGAAGTCGCCGGTATCTTAGCCACAAAGCCGTAACAAGAGCCCATCAGGAGTCCATGTAGAACCCACCATATACCAAATATCTCTCACTCATCACTTCTACCACATGCCCAAGAACTAGCTGCAGGAATCCGATTTTTTGGTTCAGTTTCTTTGGGGTGTCTAGGACCTCGTTGTCGGGGGCTTGAACGGCTTCGGGCTAAGCTTTTCGCTGCGTAAGGCCGGTTTGTAAGGCTTACAGTGAATCCCAGAAAGTTGGANNTGGAACATGGGTTTAGGAGGATTCGTGCTAGGATCCCATATACTTTACCTTTACACGCATGAGGATGATAATGTTCCAACTTTCTGGCTTCCACCGTAGGGCTTAGGGGTTTTCCGGGCCATGAGTGTTTTTCCTCATTGGGGTTAAGGGGTTTACGGTTCAGGTAGGGTTTTGGGTTCCTGCCGCCAACCCAGACAAGAAATGAAAGCTTGGATTTGGGAGCCTACAGTACCTACCTGCGGGCTACTCTACCGCGGGGGCCTATACACATCAGGAAGAAATCAGAGAGACCGCGAACCGCGTCCGAAGAAAGCAGCCGTGTAAATCATCTGATGCTTTTGCTGTTTAAGTTTCTTTCTGTTTGGTAGTTCACACCGCAAAATCTCAAGTCGAATGCGCAGGCAAGTCCAAGGTTCAGGGTAAGTTTGAGATCGTCGCTTATCGTCTCGACATATGTATCGTAGTTCCAAGGCCCCCCATGAAAGAGTACATCCGTGTTGCACCTGAGGGTTTAGGGGTCAGGGAGTCAGGGGTCCTTACACTAAGAGATCCTACTATTCGGATCTGTTTTTGGGCCTCTTTTCCGATACTCCAATCTATACATCGCCCAGATACTCCAGCTGGATGGGTGGCCCCACTCATCGCACCGATCATCAAAGAGCCGCTGACAGATGGTGAGGAATCTCCTTAGCATAGACTTCTTTTTGGGATTTCAAGGCTTCCGAGGTAAATGGGTGCAGCATGCTCTTTCAACCTCTCACTTCACCCAAAGCTACATCCTAAACTCGAGAAGCCTAAACCCCAACCCCAGCCTGCATGTTGCACCCAACCGGCACACTGGCTCTGCACAATCTGTGGTCGAGCTCTGCGCAATTTATCGGAAATTAATGTCACTACATCGAAAGGGCACTGAGTCGCAGGCTCTTCACGTATGGGGTATGGTTGGCCACGTGTTAGCCAATCTTTGTGTTACCTAAGCATGCGGCGTACTGTTCCTGCTGGAGTGCACGCAGAAACGGGTCTTGTCGTTCGTGACGCTGCAGGATGGTCGCGAAGCCATATTTCAGCGATCGCGCGATGTACCGAACACTTGTGCATGGTGTTAGCCCTGGAGGCGATCACCCAGAACACGCCAAACGGCCTACTGCCGAGCCCGAAGTACACCAGGAAAAAACCGAAAGCCGAGATGAGTCTTACTCCAAAATGAAGCAACCTAAACCACGGAAAGATCACCATGAACGCCATAAAAGGCACAAGCAAATCCTAGACATCCACTCTCTCATTCCATTGCCCAGTCGCTCAACCACGTATTTCTGCTCCATCCAAGAAGCTCCACCTCGTCTTTAGGGTTTTGGGTTTAGGGTTTATAGGGTTTAGGGTTTAGGGTTTTGGGTTTAGGGTTTATAGGCTTTAGGGTTTAGGGTTTTGGGTTTAGGGTTTCTAGCATCTACGATAGGAGCCTCAATACTACGAATAAGGGAATAGGGTTTAGGGGTCTACTGTACCATAGACATCCATAGACTAAGTATACCAAGTATAGTAAGGAACCTTTGATCGGCGGGGGCGCAGACTTTGGCATTTTATTGCTAATTTGCAGGAGGCAATGGTAAGGCGGCCGGCATGCACAATCGACTATCGCGATGGATTCTACTCGGGGCCTGCTGGAAGTGGTCTAGTATGACATCTGGAAGAACCAAAGGTCATCTTTAAGCCCCTGCGCTCTGACATGTCATGCGACGACACATTCGGGCAGCGAAAGAGAGAGTCAGACAGAGAGAGAGAGAGAGAGAGAGACCGAGATAGAGAGAGCGAGAGACCAAGAGCGACAGAGAGATAGACAGAGAGAGATAGAGCGAGAGCAAGAGCGAGAGCGAGAGAGAGAGAGAGAAAACAAAAAAGGAGAGAGAGGACAGAGAGCCAGCACGTGAGCGAACCGCGGGATTTTCAAACCAACAACCTTGCTTGCCACCCTCTGCTCCCTCCCTTTGTGTCGCTCCCCTGGTGCATCCATCACTCGCTCGCTCACTACACCAAGCAACAAAGTGAACAACGTGTCAAAGGCCGAATGCTCAGCGAGATTCTGATCCGGTGCCATTCCTCCAGTCCCCGAGACATTTGATAGAAGACATCGTCGTCGGCGATGAAATGCTTGCAAACCTCATGGCTGAATGATTCATCGGGGTTTCTGCGATTTCCTTACAGCAAAAAACTGCTTCCTGCCACATGGGGTATACATCTGGGGCCGCCTCGGCTTCACAGACTCCGCAGCCGGTATGAACTGCCTTGAGGCGCCATCCGGCTCAACCCGAAATTCGAAGCCCTGAACGAAAGGCTCCAGGGCTTCGGTGTCAGTGTGACACCGGAAAGGTCAGAAGCTCCAGCCAGCGCGAGGTGGAGGGGTTTAGGGGTTAGGGTTGAGGGTTTATAGGACTTAAGGGTTTATCGAGAGTGCAGCTGAAATGCGTGTAATCAAGGCCAAAGGTGTTGTTTGGCTCAGAGCAGAGAAGTTCCGCTCGCGGAAGGGAGAATAGCGATGCCGCTACATCCAGTTTCACACACAACACGGGGCCCGAGCTGAAATCGAAACTCTAAAGACTCTAAAGCTCCCTGCATGAAGCACTGACTTGAACCCCACAGCTGCAAAGCCCTCAAGGATACATCCCGAACCCCTGCAGCAGGAGAAACTAAATCTCACCACTCTAGAGCCCCTCAGACTTATTGTCATAGCTCGAAGCCATAACCCTGAACCCGGTAATAGAGGGACCTTCATAGGTTTACTGGGGGTTTTTAGACCCATGAGCCATAAGCCCCAACCTTGAAGCCCTTTTCTTAAACTCTGAACCCTAAACTCTAAACTGACAGAAAGGACTGTTGCGTGGGATGGAACTGAAAAAAACTAAAGCCGAATCTCTAAAGCCATAAGCCCCCTAAACCCTAAACCCTAAACCCTAAGCCCGAAGTCCCGATTTAACAGTCACTCGCTGGACGGCACCTTGTCTTGGGTCGCAATCTCAGCAACGACCCGGGGGCCGAACAATGTCGCAAGCACCTCCGGTTTAGGCTTTAGGGGTGGGTTTAGGGCCCAAAAGTTTATATATATATATATATATGTATATATATATATATAGTGTTTAGGGTTGTATGTATGTATGTATGTAGGTATGTATGTATGTATGTATGTATGTATGTATGTATGTATTCATGTATGTATGCACAATGTGTTCTTGAGTAAGCCTAATCGGTAATGGTGGTTGTTCAGGTTGACTACGGCTTTTTGGGAGTCCGGCATGGCATTTAGGGCCAAGTCTTACTGTGTTCCAGGTTAGGCTTCAGAGAGCTTTGGGATTCAGATGCAGGTCACACTGGGCTGTCGAAGCAAGGCAGCTTCACGACAGGCCAAGTCTTCAATAGTAGGAGGGGCTCTGCGCATCGCTTTTAGGGAAGACTGCGAAGCTTCAAACACAACGGCAGCCGAATCAGTCATGTGCTCAACTTAGCTACTTGCTAGCTCATGCGGTGATGAAGGTAGAAATTCCCCGGTTGAATCGCATCCCTCCAAAAGCCCATGCAGAATATAATTCGACCTAAGCTTCCATGCTGAAAGTGCCTGCGCAGATAGCTGGATCTTCGTTCAAAGACTTAGGAACTGATGTGATTGGGAGCGTCGCATCACTTTGTCCCAGGTTCTAGTATCCCCGAATGCCACAGTGCTGAACACCCACCTTGGATGCAGTCTTCCAGCGCTTTTCCTGCCTGCGCTTTTCCTGGCACTGAAAGGTTTCGGGTAGGGAGCTGCGGATTTTGCATTCAGGGTTTAGGGGTATCATATCATTGTGGATCCAAGAGCCCACAAGTGTGGCACAGGACGCCTCTGAAGCACCTCCGCACAGGTTATGTAAATCCTGCACTTACAGTCTCTAGAGTCCAGAGACACCCCGTCGCCCCAGCAGTACAGACCTACATTTTTGAAGGTTTAGGTTTGAGGGGTTTAGGGTTTAGAGATTCTTTTGCTATGAAGCCCTCACATGTATACAGTCTCGTGAAAATCGCTGCTGTCTTACCGACCCGCCTCCGACGGCCAGTCGGGCCACGTCTGATCGTCGTCAATGATCAGGAAAAGCTTTTCGGACCTAAGGTGCGGAGGGTATTGAAGCATATGGCTTTAGGGTTTAGAGGGTTAAACACGTAAGCCTGCGACCTTTTTCAGCACGGACTGAGGTGCCGGCCAGCGCCCATGCAACCCTGACCTTAAACCCCAAACCCTTTTTTTTTCAGCAGGACTACTACAACGCCAGAACGTCGGAAGATTGAACCGAGCACAAACCCTTCGCACCAAAAACTGCAACCCAAAACTCCATAGGCTGCTTTCCCCGCGGCTACTTTCAATCGTCCTGGTTCAAGGTTTCGGGATGTTTGGGGTTTGGGGTTTATCCTGCTGACAGTGGGAGCCAAAAGCTGTACACCCTCCCCTCCTCTCCTCCTCTTGTTGAAACTAGGGTCGTCTCATGCTGCGCCAAGACAGATTTCGGGAATGGCCCCAACTTTGCACACAACTTCATGCGCGGGTAGTAGTCCCGTGGCGACCGATGTTGACGGGTCTACATCGAGCACTATACCGTTCAGCTTCAGTAATATGCTGAAGACCTTTTTTTCACGTTCAAATTCAGCACTATGATGAAGACAATAATGAAACTAGCACATGTGCATAACCGTTGTAAGTTGGAACCCTGAATCCTCAGTCTTGTCAAGTCCAGTCCCTTAAACCCAACAGCTGTCCCGTAAAGTGGGTTTACTTACCGCTGACCGGTTCGGCTACAACCCACAAGTAGAGTCCACATCTTCTCATGCTCTTCTGGCTTCCACCGCCCGGCAAAGCCAACAGGTGTTCGGCTGGTGAGCCCTAAACCCCAACACCCTTTTCAAGCCCCGAACCGACACCAAAACTCTTGTCACAAGGAAGGTGGCACGTGAACCGACGTGAACCACATACTACGGAAGGATCGTGTGCATGCCTTCACGTCCTGCATGAGACAGATTGTGCTGGCAAATGTTGAAACCCCTGCCGATCGCAATAAGATCCGCTGATGCCTGCATCCACAAACCAACTCGCTGTCTTGAACCGGTGCACCATTTCTCCATCTCGTCACTGACCATGTCTTTCAATCCTGATGCTAAACGAGGGGCTTGTGCCTAAAAAGGAAATAGCTTCAGCTATTGTAGTGTCGGTGATGGTGGTGGCGATGGTGGTAGTGACCTGGTAGCGGTGATGGTACTTTCCGTTTCTGCCCGTGGTTGCCGCAATGATTGTTTCAAGGACTATTCCTCTGCCAGTGTTGCTGTGGTGCTCCTCTTGCTGTGGCAGCTCTTGCTAGCACTGACAAAGAGAGTCCCGTCGACCAAGCCAAAGACCTCTTCAGGTTGGTTGGGATAGCGTTCATCTTTGGGTTTTGCTGTTGCATATGCTTGACACCACAAAGAGAAGCCACGTGTGCGAACCGCTTCCGCCCAGCTTGGCCAAGCTTCGAGACACATCTGGGCGCGTCGACAGGATTTTGAGCTCGTCGTTGTCAATAAAGCCCAGGCCTATTCTTCGACAATGAGCTTTCCATGTCCAGGGCTCCGGATGTCGGACTTCTCATGGGTTTGTTCTTGAACTCCAGCCGCCAAGCAAATATGCGGGCCCCGTGCATATCAACGTTCTTTTTGCCATCGTGAATACTATATTCCTAGTTCGTAGTAGCACTAGGTACTAGCACTCCTGGTGTGGTTATGCATGCGATAACCGCTGCTTCCACTATTTTTCCTATTTTGACATGATTTTCTTACTTCGCGAAGACTCTTGACATGTCTTGAACATTGGTGCATTGCCCAGAACCTATCGCAAAACCGCACCTTGGCATTCAATCTCCACTAAGGATAATAAGGGTTTAGGGACTAGGCGGCGCTCACGCTCGGACATGCTCGGACTGTCCAAGTGAGGATGTGTCCATCGATCTGCTGAGTCAAAGACCCGATCGGCCTACTGGTCAAGGGGTTAAAGCTTCCCAGCACCCCCCAACTACCCTCTATTATACCCAAAATACCCACTATTACGGACCATAAGGGCTCTATTAAAGGGTACTTGGGGGGTGCTGGTCAAGCGCTAGGTTTAGAGCCAAGGTCTTGTGAGGCCACGCCACGTTGCCCGTCACCGATCAGCAGAAACCTGGATCTGGGATCGCCGAAGCGAGTGTGAGACTTGAGAAGGGGATACCCAAAGGCCCTAAAGTAGTTCCTTTTTGGGGTTCATATATAGAACCCTATAAGGTAATCCCAAAAAGGAGCTACTATGGGGCCTATGGGTATAGCCAATTCGAGGTCAACTTGTTGCATTCTGTACACTCCTAAAGAGCATGGGAGAACCCCCGAGGTCCCTGCATCTTCTTGCGGTTCTTTTGGGAGTTGCGATTAGGGGGACCCTTGGGGATATGGACCCTCTCAATAAGGTCCCTGTTGAGAGAGCCAGAAGCAGGGTTCAGAAGGGTCCCTTTTCAGTGGTCTCCCTAATATTACCTATGATCTTTCTAATGCCAGAACTCTGTGAGGGATAGCCACTTAGCCCTGCATAGACCTGGAGTTGGGCATTCGGAGGGCTTCCAGGTGCTGCGGCTTCGGAGCCATACCTTGCACCTCCAGCAGGGCCAAGCCATGCGCGTATTTATGAGAGCTGAAGAAGGCAGAATTCCGGTCCCTTGTTTCATTCCCCCCGTCCCTCCCCGCATTGAACTCGCCGCCGGGCTGCTTGAAGATCTCCTTCATGCAAGCCTTCAGCTTGTCTTCGCCACCTCTAGAAATCGCTGCTTCGATCTGGGACTTCGGGGAAGTGACTCGAGGCTGAAAGTGTTAGCGCTTGTGGGGATTCGCACATGAGACACGACATACTCGTTGCTACCATCGGCTCATTTGTTCGTAGTTCGCCACTTGCATGAAAAAGCTAAGTTAGTCTGCCGCACTGCAACGACGATCCCAAAGTCTACTTCTGCTCTCCCATTTTCAAAACAATAGCTTATACAAGCGCAGCGCTGGGGAACAGAAGTGAGAAGCACAATCCACAATCTGCACCAATCGCCAGAACGCAAACCAACCCTCACGCGCACCTCGCTCGTTCTGTTCCTGCCACTCGATAAGCTGCGTAAGTGGCCACGCATAGACCTGCTGCTTTGCACTTGGAGTAAAACAAACGTCCCCAAAGGATCCAAGTACCAAAATACTAGCTACTTAGGGCCCACAAAGTATATACTACTTTATTACTAGGGCGCCCAAAGTATATACGACTTTATTACTAGGGCCCCCAAAAGTATATACGACTTTATTACTAGGGCGCCCAAAGTATATACGACTTTATTACTAGGGCCCCCAAAGTATATACGACTTTATTACTAGGGCCCCCAAAGTATATACTACTTTATTACTACGGCCCCCAAAGTATGTACTACTCTATTACTTGGACTCTTTGGGGTCTGGGGCTTTGTGTCCATGGGTCTGGCATGCTGAGCAGCTTGTCAGCGTCTCCTACGTAGTATAGGGGCCTTAAAATAATTAGAGTAGGGGTCCTGTAAAGGGCTCCTTTAAGGAATGCTAAACGGGTACTATAAGGGTTTAGTACAGGGGCCTTAATAAGTAGAATAGGGTTCTGGGGCCCATTATACTACAGTTATATTATAATAAGGAACCCCCAAAAGAATCTAAGCAATTAATTAAGCACCTACATTTTCGGCCAGAGCTTAAAAGCAAACAAGCGGCCGCAATGCGGAACCTTAGTTGTTCGTGCTAGCAAGGCATGTCTGCATGGATGTGTCTATACTGCAGCAAACCTTCTGGAAAAAGACCAACAGGGCATTCGGACATCGATGTGGGAGTGCAGAAAATCGGCAGCCCATGTATGCACCCTAAATTATCTGATCCTTCTTTATGAAGAGAGAGCCGCAATTCCCTACTGAACCCCTCGCCCCACATGTTCCTACCTGGACCCCAAACGTATGTAGAATAAAGGCCTTTTATAGGCTTTGGGGCCATTATGCTGCCTGCTTTTGGGGGGTTTAGGTTGGTCCTTTTGCAACAGGCTTTCCACTTCGCCCGGAGTTGGAGCACCAACCTAAACCCCAAACCCTCTCTCTCTCCCTAAACCCTAAACCCTAAACCCTAGACCCTCAACCCCAAACCCTAAACCTAAACCCTAAACCCCAAACCCTAAACCCTTAAACCTGTTTCTATAAGTCCTAAACGCAGCTGCAGGGCATCTCTGCGTAGTAGTTCTGATCCAGGAGCGGATCGGCTTCTTCGAGCTCCTCGCGCTTTAGGTTTTTTCCCTCTCGCATGGCAGAGAACTATGCTCTTTAGGTTTAGGGTTTAGAGTCTAGGGTTTGGGGTTTCAGCACTCACAACTGGGACAAGCCTGGCGAGGTTCCAAGTACGTTTGGGGTTTAGGGCTTACGGGATTGGGACTTTAAAGGATTTTCGAGTTTCGGGTGTTAGGGCTGTAGGGTTGTGTGAAGAGGGGTTTAGGGGGTTGCAGGCACCTTTCTCCCATGCGCTTGTTTGCTTTGATGACAGCAGCCGCCAGCTCCTACACAGAGGGTGCGTGGCACAAGCGCACAAGATAAGTCTGGCTCGCCCAAGAACCCACCTAAACAACCCTAAAAGTTCAGGCGGTCCCTTGCACCACTTGAAGATAACAGAGTCTGCAGGCCTGCGACATCTGCGTGTTTCAGAAATTGTCGCCACAAAATGCGACGATTTCTCGAAGTCCAGCCTTGATCGTCGTAATGGCTCATCATGAAGCATCGCATCTCGTTGTCATCATCATTGAGTCATGCTCCACTCCCCTCACCCCCTACATAAGCAGCCTCACTGCATACTCTACATCTCACCCTAAGCCCTTCTTTTGAGCAGTGACTGCAGCCTTGAATCCCTCAACCCTTAACCCCAAATCCCAAAC